TAAAGAAGTTTATGAACAATCCCATTGACTTTTGGTAAATGTGCAACACAGAAGGAACAAAAGTATATGGGTATCAGTTAATTTATGGAGGGAATAAAAATTAAGTCAGGCAAGTTGGGTGAAATGGAGATTAGTTAACTGAGCTTTTACTTTGAACGAATGTGACATTTTTGCTTTATCAGATGTCTAAATGATTTGGCTTCTTGAGCAACTAATTTAACTCTAAAGAAGGGAATCTGTTTTTTAGAATATCTTGAGTAAGCAAATACATTTTAGGATCAGGCTCTTTTCTTCCTGTGTACTGTTTTCTGATGAGAATCTTGATGCGTCTCAACTGAGCACCTGGATTCTGGATTGTGTCATAACTGCTAGTAATTCCTTCCTCTCCTTTGATCTCCTTTACTTGGACTTTTGGCTTTGACCTTGGATACCTTGGTTTGTACCTGTGATTTGATACTTTGTTGGCTGAGGCTCCTTCTCATAGGTGTCTGGTTTCTCCAGTATCTAAAATTTAGAGAATTCCTCAGGGCAAAGAGATTTGCTTTCTCATTGGCTTCTTTCTCTGCAGAAAGGTAGTTCCAGGTTCTTTGCTCTGAATGAGTTACCCAGTCTTTGCTTTCCATCTTCCAAGATTCTGATATTTTTCAACTGTCATCACCCATATTTTGTCTTCCTATCTGAAAATTTATAGATTTAAAGAATTGTAATCCTTTACTATCTCTTTAATGGAAATTCTCAGGAGGATAGAATCCCATCTTATCCACGTAGTTCATGTTTGGCCTTCTCTCTACTATCATAGCTTTCTATTTCCTAAGCTCTTAATCTCCTGGTTTTCCAAAATAGATTCCTCAGTTTTAAACTTTCTAGACAATTTAAAAGATACCTACTCAGCCTTTTTCTATTTGAGCCCTGTTTGTTCTGGGGTTAATATATAGTTGTTTTGGTTTTGTTCTGGGTCAGAAACAAATCCATGTGAATTAGCTCTTGTAAATATCAATTAAAACTTAGGGAACTTTTTGGGATAAAGGTTAAGTGTGATTAAAATTAAGCTGAGACGTTTCCGATTGATTGACAAATAAAGACTCATAGGGTCAGATGAGCTTTTCATCTCTGACTATGAAGAAGGGAGTATTTCAGGTCTGGGAGTTGAAACTTCCATAGAGCAAGAGGGCAGCTGAAACATTTCCTAAATTCACAGCAGTTATTTTGTGTGCAATTGCATGAGAACTTTTTTTCTAAAAAATTTTTTTAAAGTAATTTTATTGGTACTTTTGATATACATAATGATCACATTCATCATAGGGAATTTGTACCTGTATACAACATTATTTTATGTTAACATGCAAATGGTTTATTCATTTTACTTTTATAAATTTTATTTTGTTCCATTCCCCATCTTGATTTTTTTCTCCATTCCCCTCTAGTTTTGACCCTCCTTCCCCTCCCCATTTACAGAAAGCTCTGTAGGAACTTTGAATTTCAAAGATCCTTTTTGTGGAGGGGAAGTGAATAGAATTTAAATCTTCCTTCTTTCATAGTATATTAACACACAAATTTTGTTTCTGTAGTGGTATAATTATTTCTTCAAGGATAGAGACTCTTTCTGACATATCTTAGCATCTCAGTGCCAGGAGAGGAGTGTATTGTGGACTCAGATACTGAGCATGAGCTCATTTAACCTTTCTATCAATCTATGAGTGGAGGACTAGTACTGCTCTAATTTTATAGATGATGTAACTGAGGCACAAACTATATGTCTATAATAAGTAATAAGAGATTTTACAGAGGGAATAAAACTTGTGCTTAAGTCAGACAACTTAGTTCCAAAGATTGTTCCACTTGACTGATAACCAAGTTAGTCGAATCCTACCCAAGAACTATATTTGGAAGCATTTGTCCTCAATGAATATATAAGATGGAGAGAGATCTGGGATTTCGTTGACCTTGCGGATACTGGTTGTATGATTACCTGCTAACAAATGTGTGATGAATTTGACTGAGAGTATCTCTTACTGTAACACCCCCTGGGGCTAGGCTGTGGGAAAAGCCTTACTAGCTCAGTCTACCTATTCGCTGCTGGGAGCCATGCACTGTAGATCATTATGGCCGGGCCTAACTTGCCTCCTCTCGGTGAGGGTGTGGTGAAGCAAGGACTGGCCAACAAGAGGACTATCTTCCCTCCCACTCATTTGCCAGAGAAATGTCAGGCATTGTCTCCTGAAGACCCTAGCCAATGTCCCTGTTCCAATCAAGCATCCTCTTTTGGTTTCCTTATCTACACTATAAAGGTGCTGAGGATGCAAGCTAAGCTTTTTGTCTCATCAGGACTAAGAGTTTCCACCTGGCCTCAGCTTTGTAAACCTTTACTGTCATCTTTGTCTTACTCTTTGTTTCTTAATCTCTCACTTTTTTTACAATTTTTTTTCCAGCTTTAATTGAGTTTATTGGTACATTTTAGGGATACAGTACAGTTACATTCATTGTTGGGATCTTGTACCTCTACCTGACAGGTCTTGGTTCTCATTTTTTCCCCTTGTCCCTGTCCTCCTTTCACCCCCTCCTCCCCTCTCCATTAATCTCTCACTTTTGTTTCTCACTCCATGAACTCTTCAGCCACACAGGGGGCACTTCACTACTGGAGGTTTCTCTGCCTGAAAGACTTCTAACTGCCAATGGCCAAATTGACTTAGGTTAATTGGTAACCTCCTTCTCTTTAGTTATTTCCAACTAAGGAGAACTCTAGTCTAAGAGAGCCATATAACGTTTTATGGAAACTTATCACGGGCTTCAAACAAAAATTTTTGGAGCTGTAGGAAGACTCCCTGGAGTATATGAGCTACTGTATCTTGGGCCAAGACTGAGGGTTAAAATTTCAAACACCAGCAGTTAAAAATATAATGCTGATTCCTAGCGCTATAGATCTCCTGGGCTCTTCCTATCCCAGTGAAAGGAGTCAAGATCACAGCTAGCTGAGGTTAAAATGATTGTAGCTGTCTGGATAGCTCCTTCCCTTCCTTCTGGCTCACTGTTGAGGAAATCCTTTCTCAGCACCTTTTCCCTTCTGTGTTTATCTTCTATGTCCCAATTAGATACGCCCATGTCCAGCAGTGACAAGTTCTGAAGACACTGGAGAATTTTGGCCTAGCTGGTTGTCTCACATCACAAGTGATCTGATAGTTGCTTGTGAATTGTAGGTCTGTTTATATTTTGAGGTGAGAAGCAGAAAACTGATATTTTTTTAAAAATTTTGGGTACTGGGGATCAAACTCAGGACCTTATGCTTGCCAGGCAGGTGTAGTGCCAATGAGCTACATCTGTGGCCCTAAATTGACCACGAACTTTTAAAATGTCTTTAAAAATGAAAAGTCTGGCACGGTGGTACACATTTGTAATCCCATCTTTCTGGGAGGCTGAGGCAGGAAGATCACAAGTTTGAGCCCATCCTGGGCAACCTAGTAACTCAGGGAGACCCTGTCTCAAAATAAATAAGGGCTGGGAATATAGCTCAGTTCAGAGGTCCTGGGTTTAATCCCCAGCACCACCACAGCAAACAAAATTTTAAAAAGTTGTATATGATAAGGAAATAATACCTGAGTATGGAGTATATATTATCTAATATAACAAACAAAACCATAGACAATTCCTCTCTAGACTGACTTTACACAAGCTTTTAAATTCCAATCATTTGTTGTTGTATTAGGAATCAAACCAGGACCTCACACATGCTGGGTAAGTGCTCTACCCCAGAGCTATGCCCTCAGCCCTTCCTATTTTGAGACAGAGTCTCACTAAGCTGCCCAGTTTGGCCTTGAATTTGAGATTTTGTCTCAGCCTTTCAAGTATTTGGGACTACAGATGTGCATCACCTCACACATGGCCTGATTACATAATAATTGGATAAGTGACATGCATAGTTCAGATAAAATTTGGAGTTTCACTCTTCCTAGTCTAGCTAGAACTTTACAGACCAGTACAGCAGCCATTAGTCACATATGACTATTGAGCACTTGAAATGTGGTTCATGCAGCTGAGGAATTGGACTTTTACTTAAATTTAAATGGACCCTTGTGACTACCTGCTCCCATACTGGCCTCAGATCCTGAAGAAAGTGATGACCTGTAGCAGGATAATCTAGGTTATATTGCAGCCACAAAGTATCCTAAAGTCTTGGTGAATTCTAAGAACTGAGGTCTATTTCTTGCTGTGTTGTGTGTCCATTTGGGGTTGGCTGGGGACGCAGATGGATAAAGCAGCCACCATCCCATTGGTCACTGGTCATTATGGACTGCTTCCTGCCAGCACTTGTGTGCTATGGCCCAAAGCAGACACACGACACTTATGGTCACAGACCCAACTAACCTAGAAACCAGGATGGAAGTCTTCTGTGTCAGGAGCTTGGGAGCCTCATAATGCCACAGACATTAGCCCGATTTCAGGATACAGAAGAGGATGTCCAGGGGATAAAGAAAACAGTACTTCTGTGTTCCTGCAAAGTGGTGATGTGTTTCTTCAGAATTCAAATTCCACTGTCTCCTTAATGCTTAACAGAAATTTACCAAGTGCAGGTAGGATGTGAAACAAAATGCAAATTTCAGACATTTTTATAAAAAAGTAATATAAAAGTTAAAACTGACAGTAGCCACTATACCTAGTTCAATAAGCCAATTCTTCAAATTTATGCAGCACAGTATTTGGTTTTAGTTAACAAGATGCATCTGTAGATTCTACAACTGGTGACAAAGAAAAAAAGGGACTGTATAAACAGCATGCACTGTGGTATCCTTTATTTAAAAACTGTGAGTTAACTACATTTGTAGTGTTCTGATTTACCATTCTGATGGCATAATAAACCGAAAGAACATTAACACAATTCCAAGAAGGCGTTAAGCTGTAAACACATGTATATAACACCCATGCACACACACACATACAACATACACACACACAAAGATTATACTCTAAACACAATTAAAAGTGATGAAAAAACACTTTGGTCTAAATAAAAAAAAAAAACCTTTATTATAATAGACTGTGGCAATATTGTGGCTATAATGAAAAATACTGTAACTGTTTAAAAAGCAAAAAATACTGGCAGTTTGAAAAAGTAGCTAAAATAGAATGGAAGATAACATAAGATTAAGTAATATCAAAATTCTAACATTGATACTTTGTAGGATTGCACAGAAGTAATTTAAAATTGGTTCTTAAGGAACTCTGAAGTCCATTGGAATATTAAGTTGCTGCACTTTACAAAACAGTGGAAAAGAGTATTTGGAATGTTACACACACACAGAGGAAATGTACTAGGTATATCCATTTATGGTATTTGTTTATGGTCTGTGACCTTCAAAAAGTTTTATAAAAGAAAAAAATGTAAGTGCCAATGTAGTGAAAAAAAGTTTAAAAAATTCCTAAAGATGCAAGTCTGAGTGCATTTATTAGGTCTAAGAATATATTTCAAGATGCAGGGCGAGGCATGATTGATGTATAGGAAGGAGGACAGTGTGGAGCCCTCCAGTGGGCTGAGCTCCTTGGAGGGTGGAGAGTGAAGATGTATTAAACTCAGACTAGACGATTCAAAAGTACAGGGAGCTCTGCAGCTGTTCATCAGATGAAATACACTTCACAGTGCCCAATAAATAATCAAGATTAACATTTCAGCAAACTATTTTTTTCCCCACATTCAGACACAAAAATCTTTAGCACACGTGCAGGCTGATACTTGGTAACAGCTCAAATCTGAATCCTGGTTGAAGAAGAAAAGCACATTAGCAAGGATCCCCACCACCACCCCCAACTGGCCATGAGTTCTTACCAATAAGTCTGAAGCTGTGAGACACTTGGAAAGAGGGGATAAGTTTAATTTGGATTTCCTAATGATTTTTACTTATTTATTTTGGTACCAGGGATCGAACTCAGGACCTTGCGCTTGCGGGGCAGGTGGTGCAACTACTGAGCTAAATCCCTGCCCTCCTAATGACTTTAGAAGAAAGATTTTATTTTCCTAAAGTCAGCCATGAGTAGGGGACCTGTCTTTACAATCTAAGAAGCACAATTATGTCCTTAGTGCCAAAATTTGTGACAAATTTAGATCTAGAAAAGCTGGAAGGTGGAGTAGGGGAGATGGAGAAGAGTGTAGATGTCTAGTGTACTTTGGAATCGTGTGCCCTGGGAATCAGAATGGCTCGACTGCTTTCAGAATGAAATACTGCAGTGCTGGAGAAGACCCAGTTCTTTGAAGTCAGGGCAGGTAGTGGGGAGGCCACTGTCTCCAGGGACCCCCTGGGCTGAGGTGGGCCACAGGGCCCAGAACACTGGTTGTAGCCTTAATTTTCATGACTTTTCCCAGATAAATATTTCTTTGGTTACTTTTTCTCTAAAACTAACTGGTCACGCAAGTTGCTGGTGATTTCCCTAAATGAAATGTAGCTGCACTTTATCTGAAAGTGTCAGCTAATTCATACTAATGCCCACCAGTAATGCTGCTAGATATCACTGCTGTTGGTAATGAATCAACCCCCACATGACCTAACTAGATAACCTGCCACACTAGGTGCCTTCACTATCTGGAGTTTTTTGAACTTTAGAGAAATGGTCCTTTTAAAATGACTTAGATACTGCTTTTTCCTGGCTTTGTTTCATTCTTCCTCTTCTTCCTCTTCCCCTTCCCCTTCTCCTTCCTCCATGGTTTCCACAATGAGCTCTGCTGTGCACGTAGCTTCTCCAAGACTGTTGACAGCCTTGCAGGTGTACTTGGCGTCGTCATCCCCACAAACATCACTAATAATCAAAGAGCAGTTCCCGTCCTCATCGTAGTCTATCTGGAAATGGCGCGACTCTCTGATCGACTGGTCATCTTTGAACCAGACGACCTCAGGGTCTGGGTATCCTGCACCACAGAGAGAACACAAATTGCAGAATCTGTTATTCTAAGTTTTTTATCAACTCATATAAGCAACTCTTAAGCTACCTCCATTGATTAAGGGGATCAAGGAAAAATTAAGATGCTGGCTGTTGGTATCAGTTTTGATATCTAGATTAGAATATGGGCATTTATTGTACCAGTACTAATAGATGAAACCCCAAATTGGATAAAGTTGTCCAGTTTTCATCCACGTTGTACTCTCACCGTCCCCTGACTTTAGATAGAAGAGACAACACTCCCTGAAATACTACCCCGAGTTCAACTACACACTTCAGGCTAATACCTTCTCGGATGAAAATAAAATTTTAATCTCATATAAAGGCTTAAGTTTAAATTAAAAATAAGAGAACAAATAGGCAGAAAGGATCTTTTTGGATCCTGAAAAATTTCTAAAAGTGGATTGTGCTGGTGGCTGCATGACTGTAAATTTACTACAAATAACTGTATGATTAAATGGGTAAATTTTATGGTATATAAACTATAAATCAAGCAGAGTGACAGCTATATGAAACATAACAGAGGAACTAGAAATACTGCTAAGACAAAGCAATATTTGTGTTAGGCTGACCCAGAGCAGGTAGTCTGCCTGTAGATAACTGGAAATGAGCCTCCGTGGTTGGTCTCATGATATACATTAGTCATGATTCTACAAAGCTCAGTTTTGAAAATATATAAAACCTACATATATAAACATATATTGTATGTTTTAAAGGCGTGTATATACACGTATCACCAACATTCTATGTGCATGCGTGCACACACACACACACACACACACACACATTATAGTCCCAGAGATTTCCTCTTTTATTTTGGAGATTTTTTTTTTAGAGGGAAAAAGTTGTAGACTCAGCCAGAAAAAAAAAATTAGACACAAATCTTAAGAATTTTAATATTATTTTCCAGTATAATTTTGTTTCTTTAGTTGCTTGCTTGTAGTACTGGGGATTGAACCCAGGGCCTTTCACTGAGCTACATCTCCAGCCCTTTTCAATTAAAAAAGTTTTTTAGTTTAAGACAATTCTTGCTAAGTCCCTAAGTTGCCTAGGTTTGGCTAGAACATGCGATCTCCTGCCTTGGCCTCCTAGGGTACTAGGATTATAGGCATGCACCACCACACTCAGCTGATTTTTATCAAAACAGCATTCACATGCTTTAATTTCTCATTAGTGTTCCAGTCAGATGTTAATACAAATACCAAAAAAGATAATCCCAAAGAGAAAAGTTAGTACAAAAGATGATAATTACTATGTAATACTTTTTAAAAATTTAAAAGAAGAAAGAACCTCAGACGACCCAAACACAATGGCAAGGGTGAGAGTTAAGGCAGTGGCTCCACAGCTCTAGGCAGAATCCCTAATCTGAGAAGTTTCACACTATCAAAGCTGGTACACCCATTTTTTAAAAATTAGGTGATAAAAGAAAAATAATGGCAGGCAAAGCATTTACAAGATGCTTGGGTGGTATGAAGTCTCAGGAGAAAACTCGTCTTTGCATCCCTCATGTTGGGTTAGCTTCCTCGGAAGGCATGGTGGAGGGGCAGAGCTGAGGGTCACCGTGGGGCAGGAGTGCTCTGTTCTGACACTGCTCCATGGCACTGGCCTTGGAGAAGCGGCCTAAAAGATTTTTGTGCTTTACTTGGTTAGGCCAAAATGGGAGATAACTCTGCACTCTAGTTGGCACACAGAAGTCACAGACTCGAAGCCAAGAGGCCTGTCCTATCCGGCCCTTATCTTTCTAGAACATCAGAATCTGTGGCAACAGAGAGACTTTGTGTCAGACTCTGCCAATTTCTTGGGTGCCATGCTAAGATCTTATAAGGTCCTTGAGTTCCAACTTTCCTCAGTGTGACATCACTCAGAGCACATTCTCCCTCCACATTTACCAACCTACTGCTTCTACTCCATGACCTTCTTGAAAGACATTAAGGTGTCCCCTTTTCATATACATGGCCTCACAGATCTTCCAGGACCACGCAGAGTGTTTGACGTCATTTTACAGATGGGCCTGAACTCAGCAGCATTTGTCACTATCCAAGGAACAGTAGGGCTGCAACCCGATGCTCTGCCCTCAGTGCGTACCTTCCTGAGAGCTTTTGTGGGTAATTCATAGGCTCCCCAGTAGTTGGCAAAGCTCACTTCATATGAACATTCCATAGCCAGGAAGGTTCATGGTAAACCATTTTTAACTTCAGGTCTCATTGGAGTATAAGTAGGTGAACATTGGGCCCCTAGGAAAGTAACTGAAAGGCACCAACCCTCAGGAATTCGGGTTGGAGGGAGCTGCCCATTAGGACCAGCTGCTCCTGACTCAGTGGTCCTATTGGTCTGCCCATTCCATGCTCTGGTCAGCATAGGCCTGACACCTTGCCCAGCCCACCACCCTGCCACGTGCAATACCACCGACATGTGGTAAGGAGAGGCATAGCCCAGCTTACCTTCAATCTTACAGTCAAATCTAGCAGCACTTCCCTCTACAACTTCCAAGTCAAGAATGGTCTTAGAGAAATAGGGTTTTACATGGGGCTTTTCCTCAGCTACGGCCTCGAGGAAAGCCTGGGAGACATCTTCTACAAGACAAGGAGAGGGCTGGGTCAGTTCTTCATCCCTTGTTCTCTCTCTCCTCTCTCCCTTACTTTTAAAAAAGTTGCTATAATTTAGCAAATAATGTGGCCTAGAGAAGTGAGTCATATGCATGCCTTTCTCTTGGGAATGGGCTGGATGGCTGCCAAGTGGTTTTTGGCAGCTGGGAGAACTGTGCCCAAAATGGGGAAATGTTCAGCTTCCCCCTGCCTAATGCTGACACATTGAAAAAGGAAGATCCTTTAAAAAGGATCTTTGGCTGCACTTTGTGCTGCTTCAGGATTCAGGTGAGAGTGCCTGGGAAGGACAGAGCCTCACTGGGCTTCTTGACCTCAGTGCCCCTTCATCCTCCTGCTGTAGCAGGTCTTTCACCTGCTCCTTCCTTGGCTGGGAGGGAGGAGCCAGGTGCCAGCACACCTTCAACTTGCCAGAGTTCTTTTCTCTACACTCTTGGCCTTTGTGCTGTATAGCTGTGGACCTGGTTGAGGGATAGATCCAGAGAAAAGCTGGAACCTTAAGGGGTGCCTGTGGATTCTTCCTTTTAGGCTATTTCTGAGTCATCTGAGGAGCAGCTGGAGTGGCTTGGGAGGCCAGGCCCTTGTGCTGCCCTGGATTCCCGGCAGTGAGGAAGCTTCAGAGTGGCCAGCTTTGGGCCTTACCAGCCATCTTGCCTTGGTGCAAAAAGGGATCTAGACTCATCTTCTCACCTGCGGATGCCAAGAGCACCAGGCAGTGTGGGACAGAAGAGTGTCTGTGGCCAAATGAAGCACCTTAGGAGAATAAGAGCCAGCCTAGCACACTGCTGAGGAGGGGTCAGGGAAGTGTTCCAAAGGCAGTGGACAAAGAGCCAGCCCTGTTGTCTCCAGGAGGGCCTGTCCATTGCAGGCTGCTGAGTTCAGACATGTCTCCGCATGAATGACAAGGCAGGGGGACCACAGGAGTTAATTTTTGTTCAAAACAAAAACACAAGGACAGTAAAAGTGGAAGGACATTAACATGTTACACAAGTAACTATATGCAATTTCTTTGTTTCTGCCTATCCATATACAAGATCATTTTTATAATCTAAAGAAAGGGCAGCTTTATTCTTTTTTTTTTTTTTTTTTTTTT